TTGCTGCAGCTTCTACATTGCACTTGGGACTTTATCTTGCACTTTAATGTTATAGACATGGCTTCTTTCCTTAAACCTCACAAACCAACAACCTCTGCTACCTTCCCACTTTTCTTTTCATGTTTTTTTTGAGACAGGGTATCACTCTGTCACCCAGGCTGGAGTGCAGTGGCACAATCATAGCTTACTGCAACCTCTGTCTCCTGGGCTCAAGTGATCCTCCTATCTCAGCCTCCTGAGTTGCTGGGACTACAGGGGTGCACCACCCCATCTAGCTAATTTTTTTATTTTGTGTAGAGACAGGGTTTCACTATGTTGCCCAGGCTGGTCTTGAACTACTGGGTTCAAGCGATCCACCAACCTTAGCCTCCCAAAGTAATGGGATTATAGGCATGAGCCACAGGACCCCGCCTACCTTTCAACTTTTCTTTGGCAGCTTCCTCACCTCTCAGACTCTAGAGAATTGAAGAGTTAGGGCCTTGCTCTGGATTAGACTTTGGCTTAAGGGAATGTTGTGGGTGGTTTGATCTTTAATCCGGACAACTAAAAGTCTGTATCAGCCATAAATCTGTTTTTCTTTCTTATTATTTGTGTATTCACTGGAGTAGCACGTTTAATTTTCCTTTGCATTCACAATCTGGCTAACCATATGGCACAAGAGGCCTAGGCTTTGGTCTGTCTCGGTTTTCAGCATGCCTTTCTCACTAAGCATAATGATTTCTAGCTTTTGATTTAAAGTGTGGGACATGTGACTCTTCCTTTCACTTGAATATGTAGAAGCCAATTAGGCCAAAAGTAAGACTATTAACTGGCCTAATTTCAATATTGCTGTGTCTCAGGAAATAGGGAGGCCCGAGGTAGGGAGAGAGATGGGGGGACAGCCCGTCAGTGGAGCAGTCAGAACATACAACATTTATCAATTAAGTTTGCCATCTTACATGGGCATAATGTGGTGCCCCAAAACAATTACAACAGTGACATCACTGATCACTGATCACAGATCACCATAACAGATACAATAATAATTAAAAAGTTTGAAATACAGCAAGAATTACCTACATGTGACATAGACAAATGTGAGTGCAAGCCATTGGAAAAATAGTGCCAATAGACTTGCTCAATGCAGGGTTGCCACAAACCTTCAATTTATAAAAAACGCAGTATCTGTGAAGCGCAAAAAATGAAGCATAATAAAGCAAAAGGCAATACAACAAGGTATGTCTGTATTGTAATGAAAAGCTACATGGGCAGAACTAATGACTTTTGAAAAATAAATTTTCTGATGTTAAAAATACCTTGCATTCTTGAGAATACGGTTGTTGAAGTTAGAAGTGTGGTTGTGAATAAAAATACTAGAATCTGTACATAAAATATTCTGCTAGGTTACTTAAAACAAAACCCACAGAATATAGACAATAGGAATAAACACAAAATTCACTGAAACCTACAGGGCCTTGGTGCACAGTCATGCAGAGTTCTCCATCTTGAAAGCCACTTTTTAAATGGTGGGAATTCCTCATCAGCTTATCAACATCTTAGCCTATTTGAAGTTAGGCTAAGTTTTTCTTCTGTGTTCCATTGTGATAAATCATTGATTTTGAAGGCTAATTTTTGCCAGTCAAAAATTTGGTTGTGATAATGATCCTAAAATGTTAAAAAAGAAAACAAGAAAGGAAAGAAGGAGGGGAGGGATGATGGGAAGGAAAAAAAGAAGGAAAGAAAAAGGAGGAACAAAGTGCAGATCTGTTCAACTGAGAGTATTCTACACAGGTCTAATTTAATGATTGTGTCATGGTTTATAGTTCTTTCTTGTACATTTTAAATGGAATGAAGAATAGTTACATTATCTAAGGATTCAAGTACATAGAGTATGTATTTTTAAAAAATAGTATTCAAATATAACAATTGCTTACTATTCAGGGTCTGTTGAACATCTTTTACCTAGCCCTAATCACTCAAATAAATCACACAGATGGACTTTTCAAACCCCTATCTGCAAAGTTGTGTTATACCAAAAACAGTGATTTTATGCAATAACAAGAACAGGACTTTATAGGTATGTAGATGCACTTCTGTATGATTTGTCAAATTGTATGGATATGTACAGTAGTACATATTGATCCTTTACAATTAAGTTAACATCTTTGATTTTCTATTCTAGAAATGAGGAGAGCTTGGATTATTAGGACACTAAGGGCCTTGGCACTCACTGCTCCATCTGCTTAACATACTCTTTCTTTGCATGATTTGCTGTCTTATTTCTTCAGGTCTCTGCTCCAACATAACCTAGTCACACAAAGACCCTGCCAGCACTCCCTATCTTCTTTGCCCTGGTTTTTTCCCTCCATTCATAGTAATTATCACCATTTGACATATTCTATATTCACTTTGTTTTTTGAGACAGTCTTACTCTGTCACCCAGGCTGGAGTGCAATGGTGCGATCTCAGCTCACTGCAACCTTGGCCTCCCAGGTTCAAGACATTCTTGTGCCTCAGCCTCCTGAGTAGCTGGGATTACAGGCGTGTGCCACCTCGCCTGGTTTATTTTTGTATTTTTAGTAAAGACAGGGTTACGCCATGTTGGCCAGGCTGGTTTCAAACTCCTAGCCTCAAGCAATCCACCTGCCTCAACCTTCCAAAGTGCTGGGATTACAGGCATGAGCCCCTTTCACCTGGCTCTATATTCTCTTTTTAATTTGATTATTGACTGTCTTCCCCCACTAGAATACAAGATCATGGTGAGCAGGGGCTTTATTTTGTTCATAACAGTACTTGGTGCATTGAAAGTGCATGATAAAGTATTTGTTGAGTGAGTGAATGAATGCTTAGGAAGGAGGATAGCACCTATTCATCCTCATAAAATTTGGAAAGACTCAGGCACATCACTAACATAATATCAAACGGGCTATAGGAAAAGATCTATCTATTTCAATTCTGTCTTCACTTTGGCTGAGACTCAGCCTGGATACAGAAGGCAGTCCATAGACTCTTCTTTCACAGATGGATGCCCAACCTGGCCAGGCTATTTAACAAATGCTACATACTTGCTCCCTACTCCAGTCTCCTCATTCGGCTTCAAAAGCCTGTCTAAAGGAGGGGAGGCTTCTTTATCTTGGTCGTAATGAGATGTGACTTTTCTCAGCTTAGAACCTTGAGAAATACACCTGCTCGTGGCCAGCACATATTGAGTAACTTTCTCCCAGGGTATACATTACCCCAGGGGGGAGATGGAGGCATTGACAGAGGTTGCATAAATCCTCTGGGTCACTCTGGTTCACTTCAGGCTCTCCAGTGCAAATGGACAGATAGGGTGTCCTTGAGGGACCTGAGGAGCTCAGAGCAGTAAGAGTGGATCAGTATTTCCTTATGAATCAGAATTGAGTCCAAGTCCCAGCTCTTACCTAAGTGGCATTGCTAGAAGCTTTTGATCTCTCTGGCAGCTTTAGTTTCTTATCTATGTAGCACAAGAATGCTACACTTTCTCACCTCCAGAGGTCACCTTCAGTTCTGAAGTCTTACTCCCACCTCTTTGCAGATGACAAAATGAGGCCCAGAGGAGGGACAGGTCTTGCCCAGTCACCTAGCTGATGAAATCTAGAAACAGGACTGGAATTCAGGTTCCATTATGGACTGAAACTTAGTTCTCAAGCCCATGGATCTCAAACGTCTCAGTTTTAAAACTCTTTGATCATGAGCCTCTTTGGTGAGAAACGGATTCCATGGGTCATTTAAGTAAGTGGCAAGTCAAACTCTATGATGGGTAATAGGAGGGGACATAGAAGAAAAAAACAAAACCTGAAGATAATTAGTCTCACTTAGGATACTATTCTAGGACTCTGTTGTCTGCTCTTACAGAAACTTACTATAATCAATGAGGTAAATGGGGTTACTTTTGATGGCACAAGTAAAATTTGCATTTATAGCTTTATTAAATATCATGAATGTGCACTGATTCATTAATGATAGACTTTATAGCAAGACTGGATTACATTAGTTGGGCACAAAATGGCAGTAATTTGTACTACAGGCTTTGAGAATATGTGTTTTATGACTTACCTCACTATATGTTCGACTTTGTAGTAAGACTAATCCTAAAATCTCCCAACCCTTCCTTCTTCTATATTCAATTACTTTTGTTTATCTAGCTTCCTTCCCTTCCTTTCCAAGATATATCTACATCTATTGTTTCACTTTATTCTCACTTTATAAAATAAAGACTACACAGTATGGAGATTATTATATTGATGGTAGAAAATGAAGAAATTGGAATGCGCAGATGTTAAAGGAATGCTAAAAAAAAGAGAAACATTGGACTGTATGTTACCTATCCACATCTTCCATTTAGCTTCATTTGTTAAATCTAAATAAGCAATGTACAGTTGGTATGTACTACCAGTCAGGATACAGCATTATCTTATCCTTACTACATAAAATTATACTCCCTAAATGGTATTCATTAATGAAGGAATTCACTGATAAATAATATTACAGATTTCACTTCTGTTTGTGAGCAAAACTTCTGAATGGCATTCATATGCTGAAAAAAGGCACTTGAGAGCAAATGCGTAGAGAGAAGTAATCATTTTTGATAGGAGTCATAGAAGCCTTCCCGTGGGTCTCTGTTTATATACGCATAAAATTGGCATCATGATTATATAGTAAAAGTCTGTGGATAATTCTAAGTGAAATACTTCAGAAGGGATTTTAGCATCTTGCCTTTAGCATATTACCCAGCAATAATTGTAATAGAAATGATGATGATGATAACTATATTGAGCACTTACTGCCAGGTACATATTATCTCATTTAATCCTACATGTAACAACCCTGTGAGGTAGGAGCTGTTTTTATTCTTGTATAGGTGAGAAAACTGAGGCACAGAGAGGTGACATAAGCTTGTCCAGAGTCCCAAGGCTAGTAGTCTGGTTCTTAGGTGTGAGTGGCCATGATTATGGACATGTGAAAGGTTTGCTGTTTTAACAAAGACAAACCCGACCTACCATTCTGAAGTCCTCTTCAAACTTGAAAGCTCCACCTCCTGTAGCACACAGGGTGGTGTGAAGGCTAGAGAAGTTTTTCTCGCTGCCCATCTGAATGAACCTGTGCATAGCACAGCTGGGAAAGCGGATGAAGTGCAGGTTCCCTTTGCGTCCACACATGGTCAGGTTTTTCAGTTCCAGGTGGACGTCTCGGATCCCAGTTTTCCCATAAGCAGTATTAGAAGTCAAATACTTCCGGATGCTCTTCAGGTTCTCTACTTCCTCTTGCTCCTCTTCGGCTGTAATATCCTTCGGTTCGAAGTAGACCAATTTAACCAGCGTTCCACCGATGTCCATGCCAAACCATGGGAATGCTAAAGGACAGAAAGAAAGAGCGCTGCTGAAAGCTATGTGTGCAAAGAAGTGTTCAGTTTTTCAATATTAAATAAGCAAATGCAGTGGTGTCATATCTACATGTGCATTTAACATTCAATTTATTTGAATTCAACTACATGTGCCTGGAAGGAGTCACAGATAGAGAAAATTTTACAATTGAAAGAGTGCCCATGGCTCTGCTCACACGCCACTGCACTCCACTCAGAATTGAGTGAGATGAGAAATAGGATTCTGCAGTTCCCTAAGGCAGTCTCAATTCCTGTGTGCTTCCTAGGGCTCAAGTATCTCACCAAGCTGAGTGTTATTCTAATATTTAAATATAGATATATGTATTTTTTGCATACATCCTGGATCCCAATTCCTAACTATTTTTGTCAGAATCTTCACCAAAGAAACTGATCTGCTTCAATCCTAGAGGAAAAATTGACCATGCTGGGTGTACCAAGAGATGGTATGTTGGTCTCTAACCTAGGGCGCATTTCAGTGATTCCATTTTTTTGCTTTATGAACTGACTTTAGAAGATGTGATTCCACTGTTTTAATCTATACAATATATAGAATGGGGAAAGAGAGAGGAAGTAGATTACGAGAGATGATGCGCAGACGCGAAATTCTAAAAAGAACAACTCGCATTATATCTGATTTCTTTCTGTGTTAAACAGAGACATACTGTCTATTCCAAATAGCCTGCTCAGAAGTTTTCAACATGGCTGCCTTTTAGAATCAGCTGAGAAGCTTTTAATATTCAATTTCTGGCCTCTTCTCGCACATATTCTGTTTAATTCAGGCATGGTATCCAGACATGAATATCTTTTAAAAGTTCTCTAGTAATTCTAATCTGCAGACTTGGAAACTAGTAAACCAGAGGAACCATGGCCAGGTCTGAAATACAAAGGCATGCCTCTAGGTGAAAGTATACTTAATGTGCTTGTGATGCTTATCTATGATAATATGACTCTCCATCATGATGATTTTTATTGTTATAAAAGCTCTTTATTGTTAAGAGCTGACATGAGCAGAGGTGAGCTACCTAAACAGTCTGACTTTATTTAGAGACAGCCTGGAAAGTTAATGCCATACTGTCAAATGCTCTGCAACGAACACAGAGCAAACCCAAATGGGAACCCAAAGTCTGGAGTCTTCCTTTTTATTTCCCTCACAGAATCCATTGGCAAAACCTGAAACTGTAATATTAAAGCTGAGTTTAAAGACTCAGGGTGCAAAAATAGCTTCCTTCCAAGTTTCTTTTATTTCAGCCCTAGAGAACATCCATATAAATCCTTGTCAAATTCTCTACACTGCCAGAAACATCAGTGGGCCCTACAGAAGGTCTTTTTTCTAGGCACCCCTACTAATACTTAGTTTTCAATTCAGGAGGGCTGAGGGAGGACTGCCAGGCAGGAAACCATTTCTGTAAACAAAATCTTCTTTCCTCTGCCTCACTATTGTTATTTCGGTTATGATCCAAGATAGCTGCTTCTCACCTGTTGAGCAGAAACTCTAGCATTATAGAAAAGTAAAATTCCAGGCCCTCAAAAGATTAAGAGCAACAAATTTCACTGACAAGACCAAGTTAACAAATGTCTTGTTTTCTTTGCAGACGTTTGCAAAGCAAATTCCACAACCAGTGTAGGCTGGGAAACTCGCTTGTCCTAGCAGGAGATGAAAAAACTGGAAACTGGTCATCCCCATTTGTTGATTCAGCTCACAGATGAAGTCTGTTGGTTTATTCGCTAAAACTCACTGTCAGCATGGGCCACAGTGCAGGAGCAGCATGTTGTAATGGGTAAAGCCCCAGATTGGGATTCGGAACATCTGCTTCCCTGAAGCAGCAGACAGTAAGTAGCTCACTGTAACTCCTTCCACCTCTTTGGATTTTAATTTCCTTATCTGTAAAAGGAATGGATTGCATTAAAATGATCTCGAATTTCTTCCCTGCTGTCAACTTTCTATGAATTCTTTAAGAAATACAAAAGAAATATTGCAAGTAACCCAAATCATAGAGTCTGACCACAGTTTTTTTGGGTGGAGTTTTAAACTCCCCGGAAATATACTATGGCATGTTAACAAATGCCTGGGCTATGCCACTAGTGCTGCAGTTGCAATCCATTCTCATCAGAGCGGGGAAGCTGCCTACAATGGATAGGATGGGGGAAGGGTATTTTGGAACATTGCTGGGAAATATTTTGGAAATATTTTGACAACATCTATTACAATTGAAAGTACACATGCATTTTTAACTCAGCAAAGCCCTTTCCTGGGCCATAAAAAAAACACAAGTATTCCAGGATAGGCATAAGAATGTTCACTGCAGCATCTTTTATCATGCTCAAATCAAAAAACAAAAACAAAATCAAGGCAAATTGGAAATAAGATGAGTGTCCTTTAACAGGGAAACTGTTCAATAAAATATATGACTTCCAAACTGTAGAATATTAGGCAGCTATTAAAAAGAGAGTGAGGCCAGGTGCAGTGGCTCACACCTGTAATCCTAGCACTTTGGGAGGCTGAGGCAGGCAGATTGCTCGAGTTCAGGAGTTTGAGACCAGTCTGGGCAACATGACGAAACCCCATCTCTACCAAAATACAGAAATTAGCCAGGTGTGGTGGTGCACGCCTGTAGTTCCGGCTACTTGGGAGGCTGAGGTGGGAGGATCACATGATCCTGGGAGGCAGAGGTTGCAGCCAGCCAAGATTGCACCACTGCACTCCAGCGTGGGTGACAGAGTGAGACCCCCCCAATCCTCAAAAAAAGAATGAAATCTATTTCAGTAGGCTAGAAATATTTCCCGAATCTTCTGTTAATAAGAAAAGCAAGAGATGCCTATAAGTGTAAAAAAATTTTTAAGCCTATTTGGTTTAGGGAGAAGAAGGGAGGAAGGAAGTAAGAAGGAAGGAAGGGAGAAGAGAAGAAAGGTAGGAAGCATAGTCTCTAATATGTTCATGATTATATGAGCCTGCGGAAAAGCATAGAAGGCCCCCAGTTGTTAATATGTATAGGAGTGGCAGAATGAGTAGGTTGTATAGCTGGTGGCTAGAGATTCAGGAAAAGGGATTCTACACTTAGAGCTTTCAGTACATGCAGATAAGAAAAAAAAAAAAGAATTATGCAGTAATGGAAAATAGGAGGTACTTCAGCATAACAAGAACCGAACAAGCTGTGTAAACCCCAGAAAACAAACTAGTTCTGTACCAGAAATGCAGAACTGGCCCAGGTACAGCTGCTGTCAGACGTCTGGAAGGAAGAGCCCGCACATAACCTTTTAGGTGGTTGGATGTTGGTAAATACAGGTAACTGAAAAGAGGTCTCACTTTTAAAACACTGTAGGTGACGCCTGAACATTTTATGTTGTTCAGAACCCTGGTTCCTTCTTCCTGCTTCATCTCCAGCTCATTCTGAAACTATTTCAAAGTTTTTCTTAGCAACTCAACAAAACAATTGGAAAAAGTATAGAGTTTGGAAATTTCAGCTAAATGTTATATCATTAGTTTGGATTAAGGTAAGAGAGATAGAATTATCTTATCTCTGGGGTTTCACCATGTTGCCTAAGCTGGTCTTGAACTCCTGGACTCAAGTGATCTGCCCACCTCAGCTTCTTAAAGGAACTACAGTATTAGTTTAAGTGGCAAAAGAAATTGGCTTTTCTTTACCTTTGTTTATTTCTTACCTTCATGAAAAATCTAATGCTCTTCTAGTGACATTTATTGCTTTTTCAGGACACTGTCTTACATTAAATGTAAAATTTTATTCATCTTCCTGATATCAAGATCTGCCTAAACCTAAGCTTCCCATGCACAAGCTGTGGATGGAGACAGGAAAGAAGGAGAAGAAAGAACATCCTAGTGCAGCTATGATCCATGACTCACGTTTTCTTTAATCCAGGATACTCAGATGCTTTGATCAATTCAGCTGAACAACTAATAAGAGCTTATTCTGTGTTTGCCAAGAGGAGTGATGTTGGTTTTAGATACAGGAAGTTTGTATTCACCTCTTACTCCTCCTTGAACCAGATGTCATTTTAAAATATTTCTAGAGTCTTCATCAACAACGTACAGCAGGAAACCAGGCTCAAACTTCACAGGAAGACTTTTGCAAACAAATAAACTGACCCACTCATTCAAAATGGTTTTCACTGTGGTGAGGTACGTATAAGCCAGAAACTGATGTTCATAAAACCAAGTGCTACAGATAAAATGGCTGTACATCCATCTTTGATCAACATATTTTAAATAAAAAGAACTAATTCCTAGAGAAAATTCTGTACACGTGCATGAGGAGACATACACAAAAATGTTCACTGCAGCAATTTGTAATAATAAAAAATGGTAACAATCTAGATGTTCATCAATATGTAAGTAAAATATGACATATTTATATGATGGAATACTACATCGTTATGAAAATCAATTATATTTATATACCTCAAAAGGCATTTTAGAGCTGTTTGCCTGTAGTCCCAGCTTCTCAAGCAGCTGAGGGAGGAGAATCTCTTGAACCCAGGAGTTCAAGGTTGTAGCATAAAATGCTGACCTGTGAATAGTCACTGCACTCTGGCCTAGGCAGCATAGCGAAAATCCATCTCTTAAAAAAAGAAAAAAAGAAAAAAAAAGGACAGGCGCAGTGGTTCATGCTTGTAATCCCAGCACTTTGGGAGGCCGAGGCGGGTGGATCTTGAGGTCGGGAGTTCGAGACCATCCTGGCCAACATAGTGAAATCCTATTTCTACTAAAATACAAAAATTGGCTAGGCATGCTGGTGGGTGCCTGTAGTTCCAGCTACTTGGGAGGCTGAGACAGAAGAATTGCTTGAACCCGGGAGGCAAAAGTTGCAGTGAGCCGAAGTCACTCTACTGCACTCCAACCTGGGTGACACAGTGAGACTCCATCTCAAAAAAGAAGTATCTTACTGGATAGGAACTCAAAAACAATGTTGAAGGAAAACTTTAGTGGTGGACAAAGGTGATAGATACATTGTTAC